CATGACCTTGTGTTATCATTCCAAGTACAGTACTGTATTAGCCTATATTCATAATCCTTCTGCAACATCAGTCTTTGAACCCACAGCTTTAAAATAAAGTTCAGTAGCACACGTGTATGCTGAAGCTGCAAAGTCTACATTACCCTTTCAAGCCCCTTTGAGGGTTGCGGTACGAATTTAAAAAAACCCTAGCTCACCGTTTCCCAGACATGCACCTAAACATAATTCACCTTGGCCAAAGATTACACGTAAAATGTGCTGTCTGCGAATGATGTATTACAAAGCAATTTCTGCATCCAATATGCTTAGAATTACACCATTTTTGGAAAAACAACATTTTATCGTGCAACATTGATGTAGGGTTTAAGTTGTCTAATGCTATAACATAAAAAAACTCGAATTCATATCGATATTTTAGCAATATTACGTTATCAATTACATAAGCAAATTATATATTTTTTTGTCAAACGTCATCGTACACGAGCACATTTGAATATCTTGCAATAAATGGGTGTACTTGGGTCTTGTTAAGGATATGTGGTATCAAAGGTTCCCAATTACCACAAGCGTGGCGTCTTCTATTAAAAATCTTGGAAGAGAAGCAGCAGCAGCACAAAGGGATGGGTTGAATGCAAAATGCTTGAAGGGTGGAAAGGTCATTTCTAGCAATGTGGTGCAAGGAACCTTTCATGTCAAATACCGTGTTAACAGGCTCATATATCAACTGCATTGCCTTTATTTTTAAATATTTAACTTTGAATTGTATTTATACATTTTGGTTGCTTGTGCTTGTAATGCATTTAATCATTTAATGTTGCAGTGAATAAACTAACATTTCCCAAAAAAGTGTGTTATACATCTAATGTATTTGAATTCGAGCTTAGGAACAATGCACTTTCACTGTAAAATCAGGCAAAATTTTAACATACATTTTTTTAAGGAGAAATTATGAATTCAAAATGTGGAAATCTCAGCTCTATCATGAGCAGAGCCTTTTCTGTTGCTTTATGCGTGTTGGCAGGACTGCACTCGTAAAGTCGATGGGATCTTGACCCTAACCACGCTAACTTCTCTGATCTGTCACAACCACTCCCGTAACTTTAATTGTATCTTTTTGTCCATTACCTTTGTAATGGAAAAATACTTTTCTTTTTAAAAGTGCAATAAATTTAGTGTTAAAAACTTTTACAAAACCCAACCCGTAGTTTTAGTGTGCAACACAAAGTGTAATCAGAACATCAATTTTATAAACTTTTGGTTAAATAAATATTTATACAAATATGCCTTTAAATACGCAATTGAATTCGCCATTATTCTGAAATGTTACACAAAGCGTCGCAGCTATTAAATACCATAGTTGAATACTCCCACCATTCACACGTTACTCATCGGCGATGTCTTTCTTTAGTTCTGTATCTCTAACACTTTTACTCAACAATATATTTAGCAACATTCATTGCTGTTGACTAGTTTTAACTTTTGCCTCCTTCCAAGATGAAATGCGAGTGCAAGATGTTGATATGACTTCTCATTCTTTCTCAGCAGGATGCAAGGCAGACCAGGCAATTATCTGCCAGACCTCGTGCACACAGCAGGCTCCAACTCAGCGCAGCCCAAACTGCCAGTCCAATTGTACACACGCTACACATGCCATTGGAAAATGACCATATTTAAAATGTATTTGTTGTGTGCTTATAAAGTGGATTTTTTTTTTACATTTCAGGAATTATATCCAAAGCATTACTTTTACACTTCAGAAATCCTTTTTGAGATTAAACATATTTTTCATAATCAATACTGTAGTTGCAATCCACTCATGTGGTTACGTGCAAAACCTTGAGCGTACAAGATGCCTGTGCAGAATGTCGTAATTTTATTTGGAACATGTTGCCACCTAGTGAAAGCCAAAAGATATATTCATGTTGTGTTTTTCATTGACATGCAGTCTCCAATTTATAATATTTACAATTTAATGTGATAAAAAAAGCTTCGTTTGTGAAACCCTACATCAAATAGTGCAATCGTGAACAAGCCATCACAATTCAAACTTCCGAAATGAGCAAAATAATTCCATGTCATAAACTGGTACAGAAATTATTTAATATGCATCAATGTGTACACCACGGCATTGAATAATAGTAAAACAATACATTTATGCGATTCAAGTATTTCAACATTCATGTTTAAATCTGCAACAGGACCTTCCACATTTAAATAAATGCATAGTTAAGTATTTATGATAAATAATTTAATAATCACTCATCAGCACAATATCATAAATACCACTGGCATAACGTGCACTAATACAGTGCAGTGCATAGACGGTTACGAGATGAGCATTGATCTTATCATGACAATGTGATGGACGTTCATGTATGTGGAGATGAGTCTGCAAATCAGGGAAGATAGGAAAAGTAGCCAGCACCAGGATCTTGCTCACTGTCCCACTCATGATCTCACAGCTTCTGTGTGCCTCCGTTATTCCCACTTGCAGGAGTCTCGTGCCGTTCCAGACTCAGGCATTCCTCAAGATTACCTGTACACATGCATGAATATTACCAACCCTGGCAAGCAGCAATCGATATGTATCCCTGACCAACTCTGTGTTCATTCCGTTAGTGCATTTTATGTTGTACATTGGAAATGTAGTCCTATCTGTAATCTATATTGCAGTGTATGCTCATAAGAACGAATTGTACATCAGTTATTAGAATACAGAAATATCTACTCTTGTGACGATTCTGAACTGACCTTTGAGTCTACACTACCCGACACATATATGGCCTTCATCCTACATCCAAATTAGTGCGTAATCGCTGCCTTTAGCATGACACAAACATACCGGCAGACTTTAATCTCTACATAGCCATCCAATTGGTCAAAAGTGGGATCTTTCGGAAAAGTCACGTAGGTAGAAAAATAAAAGATCACGACATTTCGATCGCAACACAAGCAATCGTCATCAGGTGGGACAACCACAGCAAGAAAAAACTGCTGAAGTAGGCGAAACGTCGTGATCTATTATTTTTCTATCCACGTGACTTTACCGAAAGAACCAAAGAGTATGGATGCCTGCAGTCACGAACGCTTCAAATCAACCTGATACCTACTGCCACCTGGTGGTTAATAACATTACACGTCGTTCGGTTACACAATCATATTTTAGTTCAGTGCAGCAAAATACGTATGTGCTTAGAATTCAACAATATCAAGCTTAGTAAATTAAAACATGTCTTCTCTATCGGCTGTACCTTGTGATTGAGAAGTACTGAGAAAGGCACGTGTATGGGTGACCATGGTTTTATTGACTTGCCAAATTATTTATCCAGGAAGTCGGACTCATTTTCAGGAGGATCCTGAATTTTTTATTTAAATGTTTTCAGCCAATTAATGAGTGTTTATACAAGTGGAAAAAAACCCAGAGCACCCAGAAAAAGCCTACGTGCATGAGGGGGTAACACTCAATCCCCGTAGAGATGGAAACACATGGCAATGCGTCAACTTGCTGTTATCTTCTCCTCGTGAGCCAAGGTATGGCACCTCGACGCCCACGGGAATGGAGCTGCACAACATTTTTTGTGATCCATCAACTCTCGCCTCCACAGTGGTGGGATTACAGGCGTGCGGCACCACTGCTCGGCACCTACAATATTACGAGCTGTAATATTAGACATTTAAATGTAACAATCACATTAGAGCAAAATGTCCCCTTTACTTATTACCCAATAACTACTGTCCAGTATATCTACAGAATGTCATTACAGATACTTTATTGTTCCACAAATTAACGGTACAAAATAAAGGAAGCAAATTCCTGGAGATCCATTCGTGTCACCTCGTTAGTTGGGAGGTGCAGGCCTAGTCCCGTGAGGCAAGGACGGATTTCGTGCTGCTCTTTGCAATTTTCTGCAGGGCGTAGAGTGTGCCATGCAACCCAGCAAAGGCAACTCCTGCTGCCAGGAGCCAGTTTCGCCTCAGCCAGGATGTATTCAGGGCCATTGCAGAAAATTCCAGGATCTGCTGTCAAAACACACGGAAAACATTCCCCGAGCCTTTCCTTGGCAATTGTCACCTAATTTCTGCATTATGTACTGTAGTGGTAAAATAGATTTGTGCATTTACACCGAAGGGTTTATCGCATGGCCACAATTACTGCGTACATTGCACTGTAATAAAAACACAATACTGTGGCGCTTTGCAAGGTGGGTAAATGAGTGTTTCGTAACCAACGAATATCCGTCTAAACGTCCAGGGTTTTTGTGTGTGTTATACTGGGTTCGTGGAAATAGCTGTTGAAATGTACATTTACACTGAAACCAAGTTACAGTTTGCATGTGCGCGTGTTGATGAAACACATTTCAGTTAAGGGTGTGAACAATTGTAGAGATGGGGATGAACAATGGGAGGACGTGTTAAAAATTGCCGTGATTTATTCTAAACGTTCCAAATTTTATTCACTTTGGTCCAGATGTCCATTAAAAGCCAGAGCCATGAGCGAGCCACTGCAGTACACACACCACACATATTCCAGTAACCATCATATACAACAATCAACATGAATCACACGCTACAGGCAGAACTACTGTACAGAAAGGAACACATCCAGACTCGGGCTCATACTATACACTCAACACACAATTCACACGTGACACACACATACATACGTGTGATACACACACAATGAAAGCAATACAGCACGATACAGGCAACATGAGCGTACACACGGCAGTACACTATAGTATAAAGGCCAGCACACCACACCACAGAACACCACATCACAGCCACTTCCAATCCACACACACAGTGGCTATTCGGTGCGGCTGAGTCTGTCGCAACTCACCCGTACCGTGCACACAACACACACAACACAGTCGTCAAAACTTTCCACACGTAACCACCACTCGCCAGACACGGGGCTCACGTCCGGCACAGCAACAGCAACACACACGAGGGCGGCGGTGGCCTTGAGACTCACCACAATTGAGGCCCTCCAGCCACTGCCGGTGATGACAGAGCCCAGAGGTCAAAGGTGACCCGTGCGGATGGGCCGATTAGCGCCGCCTAACGGACGAGAGTGAGAATCTTTTAAAATTTTTGATTCGAAGTTTTCGTGACTGCAGTGATCCATACTATCTTTAAAAAAAACTATACTCCTTGGTTCTTTGGGTAAAGTCACGTAGGTAGAAAAGTAATCGATCACGACGTTTCGATCGCAACAGAAGCAATCGTCATCAGGTGGGACAACCACAGCCGGAAAAAAACGGCAGCTTGCTGAGGTTGTCCCACGATTGCTTGTGTTGCGATCGAAACGTCGTGATCGATTATTTTTCTACCTACGTGACTTTACCGAAATAACCAATGAGTATGGATTCCTGCAGTAACGAAAACTTTAAATCTAGATATTTTAACAAATCTTAACTTAAAGCTCTCGTGACTGCAGGAATTCATATCCTTGGGTATTTCGGTAAAGTCACATAGTAGATAGGTTCAAAGAAAATAACAAAAACAAAAACAACGACGTTTCGATCGCAACCGCTTGAAGACGACCGCTTGTGTTGCGATCGAAACGTCGTATTTTTGTTGTTATTTTTTTGTTATTTTCTTTGAACCTATCTACGTTACTTTACCGAAAGACCCAAGAATATCTTACTTTAACAAATTGGAACTTTTTTTTTACACACCAGGTAAGGGATGGGAGGGCTCCCCCACTCTGGAGCTGTTGCTGCTCTTTCTCGGAATCGACCTGGCCACGAATGATCACTCAACGGAGTGACTTTGGGGCCATCCATAAATGACGTCACGCACCTGGGGGGTGTGGGGGTCAGACGTTTGTGACGATGTGTGACGAGGGGAGGGGGGGTTTGAGAAATGTGACGTCACATCAAAATGCGCAACTTTAAATAAATATAGACAACACGTTCTATTTAATTAAATAGACTTTTTAATAAATGTTTTCTCCTACAACATCAGAGTGCAGCGCCACATTAAATACGCACTACAATGACAATAGTTTAAAGCGATTTGAAGCATGTTTTACTTTTTGGGGGGGGGGGGGGCAGAGCTTTGTGACGTCATATTTGAGGGGGTCTGACTTTTTGTGACGTCGTGTGACGAAGGGGGGTCAAAAATCGTCTAAAATCGCGTGACGTCATTTATGAACGGCCCCTTATCGCGTGGAAATGTGTCGCAGGCAAATAGTCGAAACGAACGTCGCCTCGAAATGTGGAGGGGAAAACCGGAAGACCCGGAGAAAAAAATAGGAGAGAGAGACACCACAAACTCCAAATATACAACAGGCGCCTGGGTCGGGATCGAACCCGCGACCTCCTGCATTCCAGGCGAAGTAGTTAACATCTCCTTGCCACCGTGGCGAGATGTTAAGTAGACTGTAGGAGGAATCCGATGCGCTACGAAGCAATTTTTCACGGATAGGTAGGATGGCCGTGGGACAATACATGGCGGTCTAGATGTCTTGTGACCCCCTCCAATTAATTCACCCCTAGGACCTTTTATCCTTTACATATTTGTTCCTGTATTCCTTCGCACGCAGTGGGATTGTGGCCACGCACACCCCAAACTCTGGGCCATGTAGTAAACCACTATACATGGTGGTCCAGATGTCTTGTGAACCCTCTCCAATTAATTGACCCCTAGCATTTTTTATCTTTTGCATATTCGTTTCTGTTTTAAATAACCCTTACTTTAAAATATGCATTAAGTTTTAGAGCCTTAAGTGGGGGTCACCAGACATCTGGACCACCCTGTAGTCTGCGCTTCTTCAAGGGCGGAGGAATAGACAAACTACACGAACTCCTCCTGTATCCGTCTCGTCGTGGCGTGCAGACCACCACATTCTTGGCATTTAGCTCGTGAACACAAACCTGTCAACCCCTTATCAGTGCCCTTCCGTATTGCAGACCAATTCAGACCTTATTGGTCACCCCGTGCCCTTATAAATCTCAACGTCCATCCTGCAAAGTCCCATCAAAAGGAAGAAACACAAACAAAACATTTTTATATTCAATTTCCCTGTACGAGAATAAGGGTAAATCGTATGGGTTGACAGGTATGTGAACATATTTCTACCATCACACGCAATCATGTAATGCAGATCTTATGCCTTCGCCAATTTTCTCATTTACTGGACATCTGTAAAAAAAAACAAAGATATTAGCAACTCATCGAATTCATCCAGTATAAATAAAAGATTCTGATGAAGGTTCTGATTCATTTGCACCTCCGACATGTAACGCCAGGTGGCGTAGGTAGATCAGGGGTTAGAGGTGGTGGCAGACCTGCAATTCGTCACTCACACCACTGCTGACGGGAAGGCCTCCACGGAAATGTTTTTACCTATTCATCGATGCTTGGCAGACGTCTTGAAAGGGCAGATCATGGGTGGGCGTGTAATTATTCACCCACTTTGTGGATGATGGATTCGTCAGGATTCGGGTTTGTGACAAGTATCTGGAGGCTTTACGTAAACCTATCACAACGTTTACGAATTTTTAATAATTGATTATTTCAAGCACGATTCAATGCATGTTTTGGCAGTGGAAGCATATATCTAAGCAACACGTTGATTCATCACTACATACCTAGTCAGGAATAAGACAAAACCGCAGATTATGCAACCCATGGAATCTCATTAAATATGAATTTTTCTCGATTTCCCCTCCCTGATTTCGATTGTGCTGGTAAAGTCCTGTTGTCACGAGGTGATGTGATTTCCATTGGGAGCTTCCATAGTGAGTGTTGTGACATCTCCCTCATATTAGAAAACCACTTCTAAATAAGATGCTATCACAAAAGTGCTTCTGAGATCATTTAAATTCCTTCTCAAATACCCTACTAGACATGTGGTCATGGTATGGCAAATAAAAAAAATGGGCGTCAAGAGCTGGAATAATTAAACAATTATTCCAAATTAACTGAAACAGAATGTCACAAGATATTTTTTTTGGTTTACATTCATTGGTGATCAGGCTGAATCATCAATTAGTTATCTTTGAGAACCTTGTTTAGTAATGGGTGGCAGAAATGCAGTTTCCCATTCAGCCAACTGGCCACCTCATTATAGATGGTTATTGAGAAGTTTGTAAGCATACACATACAGGGGTCTTTCAAGGATTCTTTGAATGTAAAAATTCTTTGAGGCTTTCAGATCATTGCTTTCAGCACAAATTCGTTTTAAATCTGGATTTATTAGAATGTGCTGAAGCAGAGACAGTTTAGGCCAGACTACAACTCGGTCTATATATAGCTAAATAATGTCTTCTGAAATTGTGCCTCGGGTAAAATTTCCGATTTTGTTTCACAGATACAGTACTATATGCATCATAATAGGTGTGGTACGTTTGGATATAATATGTATAATGATCAGGTCTGGCACGTGTTCAACATTGTATAGAAACCCATAACATAATACACTTAAGTGGCACCCCAAATCCTTTTTGGTTCATGAATCACTATACTTTTGTAAGTTTATTGGTCTCAACACTACACTACTTGTTATTATTTCCATAAATTACATCAACCGCAATCACAAACTGTACTGCAAGACTTAAGACTTAAATTGGATTGTGCAGTTACATATTGCTACAGATTTCACATCTGAATAAAAGGGCTGAAACACATTGCCTTGGACATTTGCCCGATTGTTGGGATAAAAATCATCTCACGTTTTTGTAACAAAATTAACAAAGATGAACATTCGCCAAAACGCAAGTTGGGCCCATTGTGTTAATAAATATCCGACATCACTGTGACGCCAAGGTTGAAAAGTGTGAAATTAATTAAAGTCATCAAAGGTAATGTTTTATTCAACGTCATTTTTTGTTTGTCACTTTGCAGATCGTGGCGGCTACGGTGGCGAGATGTTAAATACCTCGCCTGGTATACAGGAAGTCGTGAGTTCGATTCTGACCCTGACACCTGCTGTATATTAGGAGTTTGCATGGTCTTCTCGTGGTCATGTGAATTTTTCTCCGGGTCCTCCGGTTTTTCTTTCCACATGTAGAATCATGCATTTACAATATTTCGCTGCAATACATTTCCACATGATAAGCCACTTAGTTGAGCTATAATTTGTGGGCCAGGTCGTTCCTGAAAAAGAGCTGTATAGCTCAGTGGGCCTTACTTGGTAAAATTACAAAGTTCTAAATAGTTTTATTTGACTTCCTCATTTCGTAACGGCAGTTCAAATGCATATTCCTGGCTACTCATGCGATGGAGCGGGTAGCAGTGAGCGTGGGTGATGACAGCCGGCCGATGGGCGCGATAGCCCGTGCGGTGTGCAGCCACTTGGATGGCATCATCAGGTGTCTAATGTTTTCACAGCGTGGGCTGGCAATAGCAGTTTTAATAGGGGCCTGCAATCTCTACATCTTAAACTTGCTCTAGAAAGTATTTGTAGGTTTTTTTATGATTGGTGGAGGTTGTCTGATGAAAGATGAGTTTTTAGAATTGTGTTCCTTGGAAAGTTATTTGGCAATAGCTTCCTTGATGGAAAGGGGTTTTGTTTACTCACCTGCATCACTGTAGTAAAATGATTGATTTATGTTTTGAAACTTTCTTTAAAAAATACAAGCAACTTCGTATGTGTACCTTAACTCATAAGGTTTTATATTATAAACTAAAATGTACGTTTGCGTCTATGTCTTAGCAGTTTTTTTAAACCAGAAACCTTTTTTGAAATGGGAAATTGTAGCTCTAAAGCATTTTCATTCGTTCCATGCACATACCCTTTTTGTTTTTAGCACCATGTAAGTGTGTTTCCTAGCACAGTGTGACTCTAATCGAGCACACTGTGACTCGAATAATTATCATGCGAAACTAATCCCATACCTCCGATTTGTGCGGTTGGCTGTGTACGATGCAAAATAAGTTCAACATACATAATACAATGCAAGTGTGAGAGTGCTTTTTTGAAATCCATTGCCAAATTTTGATGATTTTTTTTTTCAAATGTTCATAAAACAAATGGATTCACAAGAGTTAAAAAATCGCATGCTTTTAAATGAATGACAACTACACTATTGGAACCTCAACGACAACTACACTGTTCTGCACGCCCGTGAATTTTTATTCATACAGAAAAAAGTCGATTTATCCATGGTGATGTGGCGGATAAATTTCACAGATGCTATTTTCTGCAGTGGTATATACATGATTTTACTCCTCTTATCTCCATGGAAAAATATCGCGGATAATAGAAAATCTGATGAATTTTCCAATAAACTCATTTTTTCTCAAAACATGAAAAATCGGATGCTCTTCCACTAAGGGAATGGAAAATTTGAAGATAATTACAGATAATATAAATAAAATGTATTTGAGGAGTTTTCCCAGTATGCAATGTGCATACAGTATGTACGTTGCTATACACAGTATTGTGTTATTTACAACAAAAAATGGAGACATAATCTGCTAAAACCGGTCTTGTGTTTGTTTGAGAGCCATTTTCATATTATTGTTGTTATCTCTGCCCTCCTGTAAGAGAACCCCACCGTCTGCCCGTGTCCCGGGCAGGAGATCCTATCACTGGTGATTGACTCGGGTACCGAGCGGGTGAGTGCCTGTGTGGAATCACGGAAGCAGCTCCAAGCTCATCATGCACACCGCAGGCGATGGAGGAGGTCAGGGGCTCCCAAGAAAGGCCTATAGACCTGAAAAAACATCGTGTTAATAACTTTCCTCCACAATGTACACACGACCGAACACTCTGCTGCCTCGTTGCAGTAGGGAATTAATAAAAATGTTTAGTGACTTTTAAAAATGTGTATATATTTTATATTGTGAAAGCT